GAGTACCTATTATGGCTATAAAACGAAGTTTTCAGTGTGTTTGATTGTAGACTATAATAAGCTAAACAGCTAAGAAATAAGTGTCACTTTGTCAAACTTGCTGCCAGGAGATTATACTGATATTATTTCTTATTAGGTCGCTCTGCTAAAGTAATTGCTATACTTAATAAACTCTGAAGTGCTTTTGGGTACGATTGTGTGTGTAACTGCTTAAAAGAACACGGTGCGTTGAATGCGAATAATGTGTAGGCGCAAGCACGTGTAGCTGGCGACTAATCTCTTAATCTTTTAAGCGTTCCCCTGCAGCATGCCAATAGTTAGAAGCAGTGTTCTACTAAACATTATTTATAAGCTCTAATGAGCGCTGCATGTTTTCTCATTAGAAATGTGTGTCTATTATTTAGTTGTAGCCAAGAAGAGGATGAAGCGGCATACATTAGAAAAGGAATGTGACGAAGCTGAAGTTGTATTACTTATGTGCGTGCTTATTTCATTCCCCCGCGCTCCTTTCATAATCACAAATTGCGCTCCTGCTGCGCCGCTTCCAAATGCCATGGTCGATCGCCTCTTCTCTTCTCTTTTTTTCTAGAATTAGTAATCAAGCTGATTGAGCACTGTTAGTTCATTTCTTTCAAATTTCGCCATAAATAATTCAATCAATCAATGGCACCCAAATATTCAATCAATTGTTTATTGTTTTATTGCCTAAGAGCGAACAGATCAATTAAGAATTTGTTAACAATAATAAAGAAGCGCAATATACAAGAGAATATCAATAAAAATCGCATACAATTGCCCACCAAATATTTGAGATGTGTTTTGGAGTGTGTGTTTTGGTGACGGACATTTATTTGCCTGGAGGCTGATACTAGATAGCGGAGAAAATATTTGGACTATTAATTAAATTGTAACGCTTAAACACTGAAGCGGTTGACCAAACTGACAAGCAATTTGCAATTTTTTTAAATAATATTTATTGTTAATTTTATTGAAAAATTCAGATAAGTGGCAATCCTGCTCTAAAATACAACTGTAAACTCCATTTATTTTTTTTTTACGCAGCTTTTCGCTTAGTAATTTCAAAAGTGAATAATAATTTGATGGAAAAAAGTTTAGTGACAACCGTGCTTTAAAACATGCATAACTGGAAAATAATTTTTATTTTTCTGCATTTCTTTGCCTAGTAACTCCAAAAATTAATAATAATTTTATTCAAAAAAAGTTGAAGTGGCAACACTGCCCTTAACTATAACTGTAAAATCAAAATAGTTTTTACTTTTTTGTACTTTTTCGCTTACTAACTCCAAAAGTCTACAATAATTTTATTGAAAAAAGTTGGCTGGCAACCCTACCCTGTCATATACATACATACATACATATGTATGCAGCTGTAAACTCAATTTTCAAATCTTTTGTGTGAATATACCTATGTATTTATGTGTATATAGATTGCAACAGAGCTTATTTCTTTTAGCTTTCGATTTTGAATTACAAAAATGCGTAAGTGGCAACTCTAAAAATTAAAAAGACTTATGATTTTTCTTGTTTTTTGTAATTTCTTGCATATATATTTTTTTTTTATATACCCCAAGCTCTAAAACTTGCAAACATTTATATACAATATTAGGTGGCAACGCCGGTTCTAAATTTTTTTATATTTATACTTGTTTAAATTAAATAATTTCATTGCATTTTCTCAGTCAAAGTGCGCACCTCCCGCACACTTTCTTTTCAGTATTTTATCATACTGATGAATGGTTCTGTGGGTATTGAACCACCGTTAAATCTTGAAATAAGTTTGTTGGCGTATCATTCACTTTTTGAAACGTAAACATTTTTAAACTATTTTAGTCACATTCTTCACATATTTTGTGAGGCTTCCACTTGTTATCACTACTGGGTTGCTTGAAGCGTTCATCAGCATTGCTGCTCGAACTTTCTCTACTAATGGTCATGCGGGCTGGAAACTCCATGTCAAACTGTCAATCTGATTTTCGTGCATAGCGTTAGCTAATTAATGATTAAATATGTATGTTTACAAGTTTCTTGATATTGACATCTATTGACAAAATACGAAAAGACTTTTTCGACTACCCAATATTTTATGCCTGGCATATCTTATTTTGATCAATTAAATATTTTCACCAAATTAATTATAAAATTTATTTCTAATAATTTGTTGGTATACTTTCTACTCACTTGTGAAGGTTAATGCGAAGCTAACGAAAACAAAAAAAAAAAAAAAGCTAATGTAATAAAAACACTTCAAACTACATAGTATATATAAACAAAATCAAAAAACGGAGAAACGGAAAGTAAGTTGTAGGTTTGGAAACTAAACTAAACTCAAAAAAGGAAAATAAAAGAATAAAAAAAATATAACACAAAACAATAAAAAAATAATAATAAATTAATTAAAAATATATTAAAAAAATGAAAAAAGCAAAAAGTACGAAATTTGAGCAACAACAAGTAAAACAGATTATAAACGAATAAAAAGTAAAAAAATATATAAAATATAAACAATCAATGGCTGCGCTGAAATGCTTAAAAACAGACTACAAGTAAATATAATTGCTTTGCATAATAAGTAGAAATGATTATTGCAACAAGTACAACAATAAAAATAGTTGAGAAAAATAATTCTAAACAGAAATGCTTTATAAATTGTTAAAAATAGCGCAGTCCAAAAAAGCCAAAGAAAACCTCAGCGATTTGTGCGTGCAAAACATCATTTGCATGTATGCGTGTGTCTTGCGTTTGTCTGTTTGTGTGTTTATGTGGCACACTGTAGTTTATAAAATGTTGCCGTTGATGTGATTATTTGCTGGCAACACATGCGATATCTTGCAGATGAGCCGGCGAGCAGCGACGCAGCGCCCACTTCACAATGAATACATACAACAATTGCTTTACCGCTGTGCCGCTCATATAGATAAGTGTGTATAGGTGTGGGTGTGTGTGTAAGTAGTTGCACAATATTCCGGTGGCATAGTTTCCATGCTTAATTTTCGGACGGAGGGTAGCGGGTGCAGGCGCGTGCCGTGCGTTTGTTTTAATTGCGTTTGCGTACGTGTGTGTGTGTGTGCGTATTTCCCGGCGGCTGCTGATGCAAGCGAAATGCGGCGAAATTGTTGCACTGCAATTTTGTGTGCAAATCGGCGTTTCTAGTCACTAGAGAAGCGTTAAATCTAGGGAAATAATTATAGAATACGCTTGCATATTTGCTGATCAATAAAAATATATATAGAAAATTGCTGTTTGTGTGTGTGTGTGCGTACATCGAATTTCATTCAATTTATAGTAATATTAGACATTGTTGCCGTCAATTGCGCTGTCTGTGCCTGCCTTTGTGTGAGTGTGTGTGTGCCAATAAAGAACCATTAAAATTGGCTAGCAATTTCCAAATGTAAGTGCATGTGTGTGTGTGTGTGTGTCGGCAGAAGTGCGCATACTTCGGCAATATTTGTGCGGAAGAACACTTTTATATTTTATCTAACTTCTATTACTTGCATACATATACTTTTGGCTAACTTGGCAAAGGCTATGAAATAATTAAGAATTTGTAGTATTTGTGAATAGAGCACATAATGGGCGGTAAACGAATTTTGAAAAGTAATTGACCTTGATTTTTTATTATTATTCTGGTTGAGGCAATTTGTGAACAAATTTTAGTCTAATGTTGTTGTGTTTACAAAAACATAATTTCAACCGGAAGTTAACGAAAAGGCATAATCTAATAGAAATAAAAAAATTTAATTGAGAATATTTTGGAAATGCTTTTGATTGCGTAGTTATGAAAGAACCTTCACACAAAACAAAAAGAGAAAAAAAAAAACAAAAACTTTTAATTAAGCTACATTATTAATTTGGTTATTGACTAAACTATATTAATTAATTTTTTGGGCTATTTTCATTTTTCTAATTAAATTATTACTAAT